GAGCCCAGGCGCCCCCCGCTGCTTGCCCGCCCGGGGAGCGGCCGCAGGCAGCAAGGCCTGCCTTGTCCCCGGAGGACCCGGGGAGACACGAGCACGCATCTCCGGTGGAAGAACGGACGCACACGCGTGTCGGTAGCGTGTGCCGGGAGCAGGCGCGCGGCGCTGGCAGGCCGAGAGTTTGACGGTGGCTGCGGGGGTCCCATCGATTCGGGACCGCTGATAAGCTGCGCCTTCTCCCGCCCCACTCACACCCCTCGTGGGGGGGTCGCCCCGCGGCATCGTGCGGGCCAGGAGCAGCGGCCTGCCCTCACGGGGATGCTCCCCAGCCACCGGTACCTGCTACTCTGAGCCGCGCTCAGTCTCTTTGCTCTCTTCTCCAGCCAGTCCTCGATGGTGCCAGGCGGGGCATCTGCTCCCTCCTGCCGCAGCTCCTTCAATCTCTGCTCCCCTGGTTGACAGAGAGAGAGGGCTATCAGACGCTCCCGCTGCAGTCCTTTCACTCCATTAAACCCGCTGCTCATTACCCTGCATCGTTTCATGGTGGAGAGTTTGCAGTTTGCCTGTGGCAGCCCCTCCTCCTCCTCCTCCTCCTCCACGTCCACCTGCCATCTCACGCTTGGCCTCCTCAGTGGTGACAGCTCCGGCCGGACAGAGCCAGGAACAAGAGCTAAGCCAGTGACCACAGTGGCAGTTTAGGCGCTTAACTGAGGGGAGTCTGACATCCCCCCCCCCTCCTCCTCCGGGGCAGATCGTCCTCGTCCTCGCCTGAAACAGCCTCCGCTGGCCCGAAGCTGCTTCCAAAGACGTGTCCCTCCAACTGGCAGGAGGCACTTCGCCACCTCTGCCCAGTCGGGTGGGAGTGACAGGGACGTCCGCCCGGATTGATGCAGACTTGGCAGGCCGCGAGAGTCTGAAGGGTTGAGGGCGCGCGGGCGAGGGGACTTCAGAGACGCTGTCAGGTCTGCTTAAGGCACACGCTGTGCGATGCATCCCCGGCCCCTGGGCGGGAGGCTGTCGCCCAGCCCCGCTCAGCCTGGGTGCAAAATCAGAGCAGACCACGGCAGAGGGAGGGGAACAAGTTCCTGTGTTTTCTCATGCCAGTTAGGAACGAACAAGGCAGGGCCAGCAGAAACCCTCTGCTGTCTACCAAGAGATCGGGCAGCCTGAGCTCCTTGTAAGCTTTCAACCGCTCCGTCACCCCTGGGGGTGCTGCGTGGGGCAGATGCCTGCGGGCCCCCCCGTCCTGCAGCGCTGTCCTCTCCGGGCAGAAGGGCAGAGAGACACTGGGGCAGCCCAGCACTCCCCAGTCCCTCCCACCGGGCAGAAATCCGCAGCTGCCCAGTTAGCAAAGCTCCCCAGTCCCACCTCGGCACCAGTGACAAAGCAGGAAGGGATGCTAGCGGAGAACAGGGTCTGGCACGAGTCCTTGAGACACACACCACGGTCACACTCCTGACAGCACGTCAGGCAGAGCGGGCTGAGGAGATGCTCAGAGCTGTTAGATCTCCAGCCTAGTGGAAAGTTCCCACCTAACAGAAAAGGGAACGTGATACTTTGGAAAAACAAACACTGATATCACTAAAAAGGAAGCCGAGGCAGTGGGGTGTCATTCCCCTTTGCTCCGCTCGTCAGACCCTCCAGGGACAAGCGCTCTGGGGGAATCCTGACCCCATTTAGAGATCCCACCCTGGTGGCAGCCACCTGCAGCCGTGCCCACCAGGAGCCTGCTCCACACCCACCCGCCATATGTCACACGTTTAAGGAAAATATTATACATTTCCAGACAGGTTGTGAAATTGATATTGCTTGGGCAGAGTGAAGGATCACTCCATCCTAGTGGTGGCAACCAATTATTCATCTGCCTGTTGAATATTAATAAGGATGGCAGGAATGTGCTACACAATGAGCAGCCGGAGATGGATAATTTGTCATCCAGGCTTTTCATCTGCTGCTGCTGGGAGGGGTGATGATGTACTCACTGCCACCACAAAGACAGCCTGCTGTGGTCCTGATGTCGAGGTGCTGCTCTGCAACCTGACGATAAGGACACGGTTGGCGACAGGACTGTTCAAGTCTCCGACAGTTGCTCCCAAGGAGCAAAGCCCCAGCACAGCCTGGCCAGGTGAGGGCCCTGGGGAGGCAAGAAGCTCAGTCTGGTGAGTTGGGCACTGCTCAGGCTCAGGATATCTGAACCCAGCTCTAACCCAGGTTAGACTTTCCTGGCAACCTTGAGCGCAGCCACCTTATTTTTCCCTTTGTTCCAGGTTTCTCCATCCGGGCACGTCCCGCCTCAGCAAGGGGACAAGCAGTGGTTGCGAGAGGCTTTGATGACACAGGGAAGAAGGTCACAGAGAGAAACCTCTCCCACCTCTACCCACCACCAAGATTTCCTTTTGATCCTACTCCAAGCCCCAAGGCAGAACAGACCAAAACCTGCCAAAGCCTCTCTGCTGAGAGCAGGGTGCCCCAAGGCCACTGCCCCAAAGGGCCACACCAGGAACTGGAGGGAGCCCACCGACTCGAGCAGCCACTCGAAAAAGCCACACAGAAAAGCTCACTGGCTGCAGTGGAACGACTCCAGAATCACACTGGTCTAAACGAGGCCCCAAGTGTCCAGATGAGAAAGACATCCAGCTGGCTCCTGTTCACACAGCTCCATGAGTTACTGCTCCAAAGCACTCCAAGCCTCGGGCTGAGAAATAAGGCAGCAGGTACAGGCAACTGTCTGGCTCTGTCCACCTCAATGCACGCCCATCAGAAAGGCAAATCTGTCGTCTCCTCTTCCTCTGAAGCACACACCCCCCATCCAGGGATCACCAAAACCACCGTGAGACTGGAAATACCCCCTGAATGTCAACAGGTATTCCAAGATGTCACTCTGAAACACAACTACCAGCCCTCACTGCTCACACACGGCAGTGCAGCCAGCCAGACTGCAGCAGCGAGACAGGTGTGAAGGCGCTTCCCCCCCTCCTTCTCACTGTTTGCTTCAAAGTCTAATTACAGCCAATTAAGAGAGTGGCTGGAGTCATGAAGTGCCTCTCTAATGATGCCAGAGGGGGAGACCAGATTTATCTTCTCTCCCCATTCACCATGAGTTTTCTTCCTGAACGAGGCACCGCCGCACGCGCGATGCAACCACCAGGACCAAGCAGGTCACCCAGCAAAGAGATTTGCACGGAATCCTTCAGCTCCCTCCCTGGGCAGGAAGATGCGTCAGCCCAGTCTCCTCCAGAGCGCACGAACGGCAGCAGACTGGGGCCGAGAGATGAGGCTGATGAGGCCCTGCCATATGAGCAGCCGAAGAAGCCAAGAAGCGGCAGCCGACCGCGAGAGCGCTCCTTCTCCTGCTCGTCGCCGAGTTAAACTGGTTGACTACCGCCGCCCCCAGCAGGGCCACTCCTGTTCTTTCAATCACAGGGATATATCGCAGACACTCACCCAACTGTGCCCTTACCCTCCCCTCGCAGCTCCGGCTAGCTGGAGCTCACCAAAGAGGCTGGGGTGTGTCAATACTACCACCAGAAGTGACGCAGGTTAGCGGGGAGCCAATAACTTTAAGCAAGAAGATGGCAATTTGACAGTGACTTTTTCTGACATGACTGTACTTAAAATGACAGCCGGGAAGCGTCTCGCTGATGAATGATGCAGCAGAGGCAGACGAGTAATGCTCTGATGCGGTAACAGCTGGGAACATGCCTCCCTCCCTCCCTACCGAAGGTGGAAACTGTTGCTTCTTGATGAGTATATTCTACAGGGTGCAGAAAAGCTGAAGCCAAACTAGGACACACTCTAAGCTGTTACAGAACAGCGAATCGTCCAGAATTTTTCCTCCTTAACCCACAAGACTGACACAAACAACAGGGTGAATTCCCTGCATCAAAAAGGCCAAATGTTAAGAATAATGTAACGTAGCCTTCGGCTGTAAAAAAAGTGCATCATTAGCAAGGGGAGCTCCGCGATGCAGAACTACCAACACCAAACACTGAACAGGGATTCAGGGACAGGTTCAATATTTACATGACAAAGACAGTGCCACCGCGGTTTAGCAGTGTTAAAAGGAGTCAGAAAAGGCTTTGCTGAGGTTTAGGATGCGAGCCCACTCCTGAACACGGGTCAGTGGGCTACACCACTTCCCTACAGGATTTCTTTGCACCTTTTTCTGAAGCATCTGCCCCTGGACAAGGGGACACATGGCTTCAACACAGTCTGACAGCTGCTCCGCTCCTACACCCACGCAGCAGAGCTGAGGAAAGTGGAGGTAAGCAGCCCTGGGGACCCACTAAGAGACCGTCCCCTTTTACCCCACCCGAGGCAGAGCATGGTCACCTCCAGCACAGTCACACAAGGCTTTGCACAAAACGATGTGAGGGCCCTGGAGCCTCCAGCCTCTCAGCTCATCTCAAATCCCCGACCAAGCCTGTCAACATCTCCCAGACGCCGCGGGTTCAGACGGGAAATCTCTGAGGACACTGACAACTCAGCAAGAGGCAGCCTGACCCAGCCTGCTGCTCTAACCTGCGCTGTGGCAGCTCGCTGGCCGCGGCCTGCGATGCTTCACGGCACAGAAACGCCAGGGCCAGGTGCTAACGCACACGGGGACAGCCCACGGGCACGCTGCGAGGATCAGGGCTCCTGGGCGACTAAGGCAGCCTGCAGTCCAACCTGCCATCGCACAAGCTTGCCTTCAACTCCTGCCCTAAGCCTCACCATCTGAGACGCTGGTGCTTCGGTAGCCCAAGGAGCGGTGAAACGTCCCCACGACACACCGAACGGCGGCTCGGCTTTTGTTCCTTCCCTCTGTACTGCGTTACGGGCTGCACCTCTCCTCCTTCAAGGCCTGCTGAGCTCTTCCCTCCATCAAATCCCTCCAAGCCCTCTGTGGGCTCAGCTGAGCAGATTTAGGGGTCTGCGTGACGCTCAGCCTGCTCGCTCGGCTCCCGCGGGATTTCCATGGAGCAACACCACAAGTGAGGTGAGCAGGATTTAACTCTACAACCAGACACCCGTGTCAGAGCAGCACAGCCAAGGACAAGGCACCCTGCCATCCCCTGGCCATCGCTCCTTGAAGTCTAATTGTTTAATTAAATGTTTGACTGGTAACACAAATGCAAGGTTTCCAAGTAATCTCCCAGGAATCAGCTCTCTCACTAGCCAATCCTCCACTTACACCTGACCCATTTGACAGAAGTCAATATTCAATAACAAGCATAATTGGCAAAGAAACCTGCCCAAGCACAGAGCAGCTTGCCAGCCTTCCCCTGCAGCTCCGCTCTGCTCCAAGGAGCTTTCACTTCCCCTGCAATAAACAGCCTTCGATGACTGGAAACGCTACCGGTTTCCTGCAAACGGGCTGACAACCTACGGCACCTCTCGGGAGCCCAGCACTCCAACCCCGCAGCCGAGCAGGGTCGGCGAGAGGTTCTGGGCCAGCGGCGGGGAAGAGGAGGGTGCCTGCCGGCCCGGCCGTGCCGCTCGGAGAAGGGCTGGCCGGGGCGCTCCGTCGCCGAGAGGGGGTTCACTGACTGCCAGCACCGTTCAGCAACGGATTCGCAGAGTCGCCTCGGGGACTCGCAGACTGACTCAGCAGCGGCGAGGACTGGAATAGCTCTGTAGTGCCTGCCTGCCTCCCGCTCCCCGAGGCTCGCCAGAGCCCTGCCTCCCCCAGGCCAACCCCTCGGAAGGCCGGGAGAGCGTCTCTACCCCACGCACACCCCAAATCCCTTATGTCTGCAGGCACGTACGCACAGGCACTTTCAACACCCGAGCCTGTTTTTGCCAGACTATTGGCAAAACAACAGTTGGCTTCAGCTGGCAGCGTGGGCACCAGATCTGCTCACAACTTGGGCGGCATTAGGAAGAGCACTGCCAGCAGGTCCAGGAAGCGATCCTTCCTCTCTGCTCCGCGCTGGTGAGGCCGTCTCTGGGCGCTGTGTCCAGTGCTGGGCTCCCCTCTACCACACAGACAGGGACATACTGGAGGGAGACCACCAAAGGCAAGAGACGACGAGCACAAACCGAAATGCAGTGATTTCCATTTAAATACTAAAAAAATAGATTTTTTTTTTTTTTTTTTTTTTACAAACACTGGAGCAGATTGCCCACAGAGGTTGCAGGGTCTCCAGCCTTGAAGATATTCAAAACACAATTGGACATGGTCCTGAGCAGCCTGCTCTAGTTGACCCTGCTTTGACAAGGTAGGGTTGGGGCTAGATGATCTCCAGCGGAGACCCTGACCATTCCATAACTTTGCAACAACACCTCGCTCACATTTCCTCCAACCACCAAAGCAATGAATCCTACAGAGAAAGCAGAGCTGCCACCCTTTTTTGGCAAGGAGGTGGTACTCCCAGAACGAACAAGTTCAAAAGTGCTCTGAAGACCCACAGCAGGGGAGCAGCTGCCATTCATCCTCTGCCCAAACTTCAGTTCCACCCAAAGCCACGTGAGCAGAGGCCATTCCTGGATCCAAGACCCCACGTCCTCTCCTCAGGACAACCCAACTGACCGCAGGCTACCTCCTCCCACGAGTGGAAGCAGCAGCTCCCTGGTAATAGTACAGAGGTGGGGGGAAATCAAATCCATAAATTTAAGGGGAAGTGATGTACCAGTGCCCTCTGCTGCTGACAGTTTTTATTCCCTGGCTGAACAAAACCCCGAGGGCTCACAAAGCCCACTCTCTGCTTCAGATGCTGGCTGCTAAGTAGTAACAGCATTGCTCAACTCGAGGTTTTGTGTCTGTGCCAGCAGATCGAAGAGCAGAAAGCCTATGAAAAACTGCAGCACTTCCAGCCACGCTACAGGCTGACACAGCCCTGAGAGGCAGGCGGGAGGGAGCCGCGCTCGGCCCGCTGCGT